ATGTATGTATATATATATATTATATATGTATATATATGTATATATATATATATATATATTATGTGTATATATATTTATGTATATATATATACTGTATATATATATATATGATATAATAATAATGAATATTTATGAATATGATATACATCAAATTTTCAAAAATTCTGTTCTCATTGTGTTTCTAAGTAAAAACTAAATGTTGTTTTCTGGTTAATTTTAAACTTGGGTTGGGCAATTTTGGCAAAAAAAAAAATTTTAAAATCCTGATTATTTATGCATTGCATCTCAACAGGATTCATGTTTTTGTTTCAATTGAGGTTCAATTATTTCAAGGCACGGTTGGCAAACCTAATAATAAGTAAATAAGAAGAAGAAGAAGTAGCCAATATTTCCCGGGAACGTTTATTCTTACGATTAATCGCACGCAATACATTATTGCACAAGTTATTCCAAACTTCTGCCGAATTGAGTTGTGAAACTCCCTGCTCTAATCAATAGGAGCACACAGAGTGCTGTGCCAGCTGACATAGTTCTGCTTTTTAGAGTGAAATTTCACTCCACTCATTTTGTCACTTTGCAGAGCGCTGAGCTGCAAAATGTCACCAGGCATCACCACCGCAACTGTTTAGCCAAGAACAGATAAAGACGTTTGCTTTGCGTGTAAGTGCAAAACCGATTAGGAGAATCGCAGTAATTGAAAAATGAACAATTTATTTCATTAGTACAGTTTTGTTCCGCTTAACCGTCTAGTGTCATTTACACACGGTTCGTTAAAGGATGCAGATGACGACCATGCATGAGGGCTAGAATAGATTAGTTCTTTATTGTCACTGTTGCAGGAACAAAAAAATAATAATATAATATATATATATATATTCTTTATTGTCACTGTTGCAGGAACAAAAAAATAATAATATAATATATATATATATATTCTTTATTGTCACTGTTGCAGGAACAAAAAAATAATAATATAATATATATATATATATTCTTTATTGTCACTGTTGCAGGAACAAAAAAATAATAATATAATATATATATATATATTCTTTATTGTCACTGTTGCAGGAACAAAAAAATAATAATATAATATATATATATATATTCTTTATTGTCACTGTTGCAGGAACAAAAAAATAATAATATAATATATATATATATATTCTTTATTGTCACTGTTGCAGGAACAAAAAAATAATAATATAATATATATATATATATTCTTTATTGTCACTGTTGCAGGAACAAAAAAATAATAATATAATATATATATATATATTCTTTATTGTCACTGTTGCAGGAACAAAAAAATAATAATATAATATATATATATATATTCTTTATTGTCACTGTTGCAGGAACAAAAAAATAATAATATAATATATATATATATATTCTTTATTGTCACTGTTGCAGGAACAAAAAAATAATAATATAATATATATATATATATTCTTTATTGTCACTGTTGCAGGAACAAAAAAATAATAATATAATATATATATATATATTCTTTATTGTCACTGTTGCAGGAACAAAAAAATAATAATATAATATATATATATATATTCTTTATTGTCACTGTTGCAGGAACAAAAAAATAATAATATAATATATATATATATATTCTTTATTGTCACTGTTGCAGGAACAAAAAAATAATAATATAATATATATATATATATTCTTTATTGTCACTGTTGCAGGAACAAAAAAATAATAATATAATATATATATATATATTCTTTATTGTCACTGTTGCAGGAACAAAAAAATAATAATATAATATATATATATATATTCTTTATTGTCACTGTTGCAGGAACAAAAAAATAATAATATAATATATATATATATATATATACACTTCACTGTTGCAGGAACAATGAGTTTTAGAGTCTTTCTGTTATATATGTATGTATGTATGTATGTATGTACATATATATGTATGTATGTATGTATGTATGTACATATATATGTATGTATGTATATATATAATGTATGTATGTATATATATGTATCTGTATGTGTATATATGTGTATATATGTGTGTATATATATATATGTATAAGGATATATGTATATATGTATATATATATTTTTAAATATTTTTTGTAAGTGTCCACAGTTATTGTTAAATATTGCAGTATACTGTAGTTAAAAAATTACAGTAGCAGTTGTTGAATTAACATTTACTATTCAGGTTATTTGTAATCGCATTCAAGTTATTGCGGTGTATTTTTTGTAGTTATGTTTTTTTTTTTCGTTTTTGCTGTGTTGTGTGTGTGTGTGTGGGTGATGAGGGGAAAGGAGAGACATATAACAGCATGTGGATAGAAGCTTTTGTTC